TGTTGTTGTTGTTGTTTTTGTTGTTGTTGTTGTTTGTTGTTGTTGTTGTTGTTGTTGTTGTTGTCGTTGTCTGCTGACGCATTAACAGGAGGCCAACAAGCCATGAAGTGAGTGAGCACCTTTCCCCGCCACCGCAGCAGAAGAGCACGCCGCTGGCTACTACAGCAAAATAAACTCAAACCAAATCGGAAAGCCAAAACAGAAGCACTCTCGCTACTTGACATCTCGAAGATGCAAGTGAGAATTGGGGATGCGTGAGCACTCAAGTTTCCCAAGGCCTCGACCTGACAGACTGAGGGATTGTCCAATACAGGGGTGGCCACCGAGCCCTTGGCAACGTGGTCATGCATGCATTGCCAATCCTCTGAAATGCACCCAAAGCTGACGTGGAGCGAGAACGGATGGCATGAAGGACAGATAAGGTCAATCAATAAATCAATGTGTCGGTTGGGATCTGATTCAATCGACAGGGACCACTAGGCAGCCCTTGAAGCCTAAAGCTGCAGGCGATACAGCAATGACCAGCACTCAAGCAATGAGGGGTTTGCACCAAAGCTGTGCCGAGCACCCAATAATGACTGCAGCCTCCATGTATTTCCAGCTGCATCATATAATGTTGTGGATCTTGCTGGTTGGCATATCCTGGCTCAGACTGGTTGTAGGAAAATGTGTGGAACAAGCTGGAAACGACATGTGGGTTTGAAGGTCCTCTCCTTGAGTTAAGCAGTCTGTGCGCTGCAGCAGGAGAGGTCATGCTATGGCATCGCTGCGAAATGAAATGTGTGCAAACTCTTTGCCTCAACTAGGGCGTGTGCTGAACCCACAAGCGCTATTGCAATTGTTCCGCTATGCAAGCACGGCTGTAGACCTCAGGCGGGCAGAGCACATAGGACTCGTGCCGTAGGCGCGCAGCAACGAACAGCAAAGCAAAGCAAACACAGAGAGAAATTGCTTGCGCTGCCCGGGGAAGAAGACTTGCAGACCAACTTCTAGCTGCAGGCATACGCGTGCGTGCGGGCTCCTCCGGTCTAGCACGTAAGGCCTAGTAAGGGAGATTGAACGTGAGAGAGCGAGAGAGAGAGAGAGAGAGAGAGAGAGAGAGAGAGAGAGATGGAGAGCAGCCTGATGAAAGAAAGAGTTGAAAGCACCGAGTTGCTTGTACTGTAGTGCTGCCGTCATACATGCTACCATTTCTTGCAGTGTTCTGATGCTGCTTTGAGAAGAAAGGTTGCTGACCATGTCTTCCAGGCGTCCTGTGCAGCGAGGACGTGTGTAGAAGTGGTATCAATGGTTACATCGGGAGCAGACACAGAGAGAGCAGACAGCATGCAGACAGACACGGCTGCAAAAAGTTAAGCATACATCTTGGAAGTTCAACACAGTTCAATACTTCCTGCCATGCTCCTGACGGCCAAATGACTATGAAGGTAGCCCGGACGTGGGGCGCAGCAAGCAGAGATCGATGTAAATGTTATTAAGGGTAGATGTTGTATCGTTGGTACCGTGCATCCTCCTCTCTTTTGTTGAGGTAGCAAACATGTCCATGTCGAGTGCGTCGTTTTGCCCAGTTTTTTTTGCAGTGTCTCGCAGCGCTGGCCGCATTCTTGTGACAGCAAAGAGGCATGCTTCAGGGTTTCAGGCTTCTCGTGCGACAAATTGACGCAGCTAGGACGTCCGTGTTCCGACGTTTCAAAGAACTTATGTGCTAGTCATCTGTGAGTAGCAAAAGAAGCTGCAACCGCCTGAACCGAACCAGCACAGGCATAGTCAAAGCATCGGAAAGCAGGTTTCGGCTATGGGCTCGCCAGCTAAGCTCCATCATCGCACCGTTCATAGTTGAAGATACAGCTATCGATCTTTCACAGACTGGGCTTTTTCCCAGGCCTCCGGCGTGTTGCCATAGTTGCCATGCCAGAAGTTTTTAGATTGAAGGCAGAGGCCAACTCGCTTCGGCTGAGGGGCTGGGCCGGGCTGGGCCGGGCTGGGTCTTGCTCCGGCCAGTCGGCTGGGCCATTTGACTGCGGCACAAGCATCGAGTCGCACATCTGGAAGTTACCCACGTCGCAAGCAACGTAGCGGTGTATTCTCGCTCTTCAACTCGTTGCCACACCGAAGGCCATGATTCTGCGCGCAGCTGTGTTCGGGCTGGTTTGTTCGGGAATGCTCAGCTGGGCCAAGAGGCCCCAGATTCCCCCGCACTGGAGTTGCCGTGGACAAGTCGATTGGCCGTCTTTGCGGATGCTTAAAGAACAGGCCGGTCGCATGATGGAGCATGATTTACTCCCCGTGTTGATACTTGAAGGAGGCTCGCAGAAGTACTGGGACTTCCTTTTTCAAGAAAACTGCCATGCTGCCCGATGGACAGTGGAGTTGCTCTATGCAGAGTTAGCCATGATCCGTGCTGAGTTGAGCAATGATTGGGCCGATGCGTTGGGATCTGCTGGCATGGGCATCAACCATCCCTTTGCGATATTTTTCCGCAGGAGCCATCCGATCATGGACCTTTTCCACGAGCTCATGTGGGGTGCCGGCTCTGCTTGGTCTTCGGTGAGTGCTGGTGGCTGGGGCACTTTTGCGTTGCTAGGAAGACTGTCTAAAGCATTCCAAGCTTATCTTCAGAAAAAAGGCAAGCCAGCAAGCGAAGCTGTAGAGGCCATCATGAGTCTGCAGCCCACCGAGACTAGGCGAGCTATCGCTGCCGGAATTTCGAGGGTCTACACCGTTGCAACGGCAGGATTGCAACATGCAAACACATCAGCCCCCTGGGAGCACCGCGCAGCAGCAGCCGCCACTGCTGAGACGTTGTTGCGCAGGTGGTCCCGTGCAGCTACATATTCGGGCTTGCCGCCTTGGCAAATTCTTGGATCCGTTTTGCTTGATGCACAGGCACCCGAGTTCTGGCAATTACTGGATGCCATCCTCCTGCCTGACGCAGTCCGGATTTGTCTCCCTCAAGTGCTCGGTTTGCAGTCCTCGTGCCGGTGCAGAGCAGGGCATTGCTCCAAGTTCTGGGGCACGGACCAAGCTCTCAAGGCGGCTGCCGGGAACCACAGCAATAAAGCTAGAGACTTGGCCATCTTTCGAGTTGTGCCGAAGCGTGGGCTACTGAATGACAACTTTCGAAGCAAGTGTAACGTCACATGTCCCAAAGCTGTCCTGGGTCTTCTTGGAGAGGTATCAGAACTCTTCATGGGGCAATCTGTCCCTCGCACTCCCTTCGTGTATGTGGACGTCGGGGCAGCACTGGGGGACTGCATGATGTCTGCGTCCTTCCTGTTTCCGGAAGGTCGCTTGCAAGGCATGGCCTTCGAGGCTATACCTGCGTGGGCAAGCCGCATGAGGGAGACTTTCCGCATCAACGATATCTCCGCAGAAGCACTCCCCAACAGGACACAAGTGCTGGTCAGAAGTGTGTTCCTGGGCAGTGAAAAGTCGAGATCGGTGTACATGGCAGGTGGTTGGGGCCTTGGTGGTGCTAGTGGTGCAACAGATCCTGGATCTGTCGGGTCTTTCCAGCCGCTCACTTTGAGAACCTCCACTTTGGATGACGAAGTTGCCGTGAGCGGCATTGGTCGGGTCGACTTGCTACACATCTTTGTGAATGCTGTCGAACCAGCAGCCAAGAGTTTTTGCATCATCGCTTTGTGTTCCTGAGGAATAGACATACACACACACACATATATATATATATAGTCTTTCACAACGTAGAGGTTGAGAGTCTCATGACTGTCGGGATGCAAAGTTCACAAGAACCAAGGCAGTTCTGCAGGGCGCCAGGCGCTTGCTGCAGCAGCATCGCGTAGGTTGCGCCCTCGTCCAAACATACCTCAGACAAGATATCACAGGTCCTGTTGTCCGAGTTCTCCGCTCAAGTGGCTATACGGTCAGCAATTACAGCTATGCGATTCCAGAGAATGCTTTCCAGCTAGTGGCCGGGAGTCCAACTGACGCCCTTGCGCTTGCAGGGGGGTCGGCTTGTGGCAGACGGTTTTTCCAGTGGTGGCTTGGTGAAAACATGTGAAAATCGTCAGATCGAGAGTGACTGTAACATTAAAGAGAGAGGAAGGCAGAGACAAAACCCCACACAGGGGCGCGCCTCCAAGCCCCACGAAAGCAAGACCGACACAAGGCAGAATTGCAGCCAGGCACAAGCCGATTGGCCTAGACGTACCGAAGCACGCACATACACACAAATCACGCTCAGTCAGGTTGAGAGCTCAGAACTTGACCAGTGGTGTCACGGACAATATTCGGAGTTCCACGTATCGAAATTCCCTGCAAACGATGCGAGTAAGGATGTGCACAATCCATGGGATGTCGAGGTCGTCCGGTCCGAACCATGAGCCGTTGGAAGGCGATGTGCGGAAGCGGAGTTCTTCGCGCGCTTCGATTTCATGCATTCTCCTGGCGCTGCACACGCTCAAGATTGAAGAGCCCGTCGCGCACTGAAACTGCACGAAACTGTGCCTACGATCGCCACGGATGCCGGTTGTCGTTGTCAACGTCGTTCTCGTTATCCTCTTTGGACGGCGTTGCGTTTGTCGTTGACGCTGCCTCTGAGGAATAGCTTCCTCCATGTCCCCCGTATCATAAGGCTGCTATGTCCTACTAAAGCCTACACGACAGATCGAACTCCAGCCCCCCTTGGGCACGTATGTTTGCATATCTCTCGACACTTGAAGATTCACTTGCCGAGGGTTGTGTTCACCAGTCTCATCCTGTGTTTCTGCAGGCAATGTAATGTAATGACTATCTAGAAAGTTGCCCATCCATGTGCTACCTGTTCAGCTGTTCTGTCCTCTACAGATAAGGTACCGGCAGCCCATGACATTCCCGTTCGACTTACATGTTTGAAGATGGTTTCAGGTACATGAAGCCTTACCCTTTCTCCAGTTCTGACACAACCACGCCGATATCAGGTGATGGAAGCCGATGTAAGCCTGAAAGGCATCTGCAAGCCATCTAGAACTGCCATTCCGTGGCCCGGGCTTGTTTGCCCGACCATGGATCCGTCATTTGCGCCATGGAGACCTGGATGTGCGAACCGCTTCTTGTGACACCTGAGCGAGCCTTGCTGGAGCAATTGGCTGAAGCGGAATGTCTCAGGTTTCCGTGAGTGGTCGGATTCGGCTTCGGCAGTACTCGAGGTCAGATGCTTCAGTTCGGGTACTCGTGGACAAATGTGGACAACAATGTGCGGCACTGATGTCATTACTGCAGCACTACAGTAGTCACTAGCCTGCGCGCAATCCTTCGAACACTGTCGGGTTGCGCTACTCGCGTCATTCTGTCCTGGTCCTAACCCTTACTAATGGAGATTAACGGAGCTATGGAGATAAAACGTTAAATGCACACAGATGTCAACGCGTAGACCGCATATACAGGAATATTTATAACAATCGTACTATCAACAACAATAACAAAAATCATGGTACTGCCAATAACAATCAGAAAAAGAATGATATAATACCAGTAGAAGAATCATTTGTAATGGGAACATTAAAAATTTCAACAGTGTACATGTAGAAGAATAATGTGTAATAAGAACGTTAAAAATTTCAACAGTGTACACATCTGTATATATATATATATACTTCTATATAGTTAGGTCTCAGACAAGACAGGGGAGCAAGCACAACGAAGTGTCATGCATCCGTGGAGCCGTGAGAAGGAACCCTGAAGGGAGGAGCTTCCGAGCAACAAGTGAGAGGCCTTGAACACAACTTCAAGAGGTTCAAAGGTTCTCAGGCCGGACAGATCAGGCCCCGTGGGCTTGGGTTGCACTTTGCCTGTCTGCGCAACGATGCAATCTCAGCATCATTTCTGCCTGGCAGAACCAGCAGCAGGAGGAGGGGCAGGAGGAGGAGGAGTGGTAGTACAGCAGTAGTAGCAGTGGCAGTAGCAGTAGGAGTAGTAGTAGTAGTAGTAGTAGTAGTAGTAGTAGTAGTAGTAGTAGTGTAGTAGTGTAGTAGTAGTAGCAGCAGCAGCAGCATTAGTAGCAGTGGTAGAAGTTGTAGTAGTAGCCGCACATTAGAAACAGAAGTTCATGGGAAGCTGGATCATATAGGCATTCTCTTCTGCACCAAGCGTCGCCATCACCTTTAGCATCGCAGTCACCGTCCACTCAACCATCAGGTGCCCAGGCTTGCTTTTCTGAGTCTTTGGGACGGCAAACCACCAATCTCCCAGGCGTCTGGCCTGAACTCGGAGCTCACAGCATCGGCTGTAGGGGTGGGGCCAAATTACCAAGCATGGGGATTTGGCAGGACGGGGTCGTAACCTTGCGCAAACAACCAGAAGCTAAGCCACTCCCAACATCCGTGACGGCAAGTAGCACAGCAATAATACTCATTGCCGAAACTTGGTACCGCACAGCTTAGGCTCCCAAGTTGTTTTCCAAAAAGCAATTTGGATCTTGTCGATCGGAAGGAAGAGCCGAGGTTGAAAACAAAACTAAGTTGCTGCATGCAGTGTCAGGAATCGACAAGCTAATGGTTTAGAAACAACAGGCCTTGGTTGCTCGCTTCTTCGGAGGTTCAAGCTGCGGCAAGCATCTCCGGCACACAAAATATGTCGGAAATAAGATGAGCAGAACTAGCAGCAGTGGCAGAAGCAGAAGCAGCAGCAGTCGAAGAGGCAACAGCAGTGGTAGCAATCGTTGTAGCCTAGTTGTAGCAGCAGCAGCCGTAGCACCGTCGCGTAGCAGTAGCAGCAGTTGCAGTAGCACCAGTAGCAGCTGCAGCCGCAGCAGCAGCAGCAGCAGCAGCAGCAGCAGGAGTATAGTAGCAGCAGTACTAGTAGTAGCTGTAGTAAAAGTAGAAGTAGGAGTAGTAGGAGTAGTATACAAGGAGTAGGAATTGCGGTGGCAGTACAATATTCGTAGCAGCAGCAGTATTCACGGTAATTACAGGCAACGCCAGTAAAAAAACGCAGCTTCGAAGCCGAGAGTCAAGTGCCAGGGTTCGTCCACCGAGGCGCCTTCCTGGGCTGAACACTCTGAAGCCCCAAGAGTTTCGACTCTTCGAAGCCCGCAGATTCTGAAACGAGTGCGGATGTGAGGATCGTTTAGAGCCGACTGTTAGCATGAAGCATATGCACACCTCCAACTGTCTCTCTCTCTCTCTCTCTCGCGCTCATTCACATGACCATCCTGAAGATCACTTTGAAGGAGACACTTCGCGCGATGGAGTTTCCCCGGTCAGACTTGCAGAATCGAAGCCCGATTCTACTGCAAGAAAGCATATATAATCATCTGCGGTCAACCCGCACGCGAACGTGAAAGATGTGAGCAATGGACAACTAGATTCGAAACACGTAGCCCTCACGTCAGCCGTTCGACACATGATCCTGATTCTCAGATCCACTTTCGACCTGCTGCCATTGAAGAACCATCTGAGCATCCCCACAAAGCAAAAACCCACACATGCACATGGAACAGGCTGTGGCTAACAATTAGCAGCAACTTTACAGAAGCGCGAAATGCGAAACCGCTGAACTCCAAACCCGCAGTCCGCTACACCATCCCAAACATCCGAGATTCCGAAACCAAACCCTAAACCCTAAACCCTAAACCCTAAACCCTAAACCCAAAATCTCCAAGTTAAACCCTAAACCTCCATAAACCTTATACCCCTATGGGAGTCTCCGAAAATTAGGGTACCTTATTTTGGGGTCCTTCTAGTAAGGACCCTACCATTTGGGGTACTATAGTAGGGTCCCCTATTTTAGGAAACCCCCCTATAGACTACCCTCTATTATCCCCCAAATACACACTATTAAGGACCATAAGGGCTCTGTTAAAGGGCTATTTGGGGGGTCCTGGTATAAGCCCTAAACCCTAAACCGCAAACCCCAAACCCCAAACCCTAAACCCCAAACCCCAAACCCCAAACCCTAAACCCTAAACCTTAACTGTCAGGCGAGGCTCCCCGCAAGCACTCGGGGGGCACTGCTTTGTCGAAACGACTGCGAGGTCGGCTGCAGATTCTGAGTCTCTCTTTCTTCCCTTTAAAGGGTTCCTTAGTCCTTTAAGGGTTCTACTATAAGGTTCACTTTAAAGGGTTCCTTAGAGGGTTTCGTTTTGCCTTTTTAAGGTCTTAACCCACCAGGACCTACTTTGTTGTAGGGTCTCCCTTTTAAGGGTTCCTTAGTCCTTTAAGGGTTCTAAAGGGTTCTTTAAGGGCTACTATAAGGTTCACTTCAAAGGGTTCCTTAGAGGGTTCTATAAGGGCTACTATAAGGGTTTAGGGGCCCTAATAATCAGAATGGGGTTTTGGGGTTCCTTTACAAGGGTTCCTGAAACGGTTCTATGAGGGCTACTATTAAGGTTTAGGGCCTTTAGGGTTTAGGGGCCTCAATAATTAGAATAGGGATTCGGGGCCCATTATACTAGCATTATAATAAGGAACCCCAAAGAATAATATAGGTAATTACTCAGTACCTGAACCAACATCAACAATGGCAATAACACCAGCAGGAGCAGCAGCAGTGGCACTTGCAGAAGGAAGTGGTGGTAGTAGCAGCACCAGCAGTTGCAGTGGTCATGCGAGTGCGCGCGGTAGCGGTGGCTGCAAGTGTTCTTATTCCGTAGTAGTCGGCGTCGTCCTAGTGGGTACTGTAGGCGCCCGCAACCTTCCTCTTGTGGCCTGACTCCGGAAATGCAACGGCACTGTAGCGCTAAGGTTTTGGGGTGAAGTTGCCTCGCTTCCCCGCCGTCTACCATTGGACATAGAAATTGTGGTTCTCTTAGCAGCAGCATCAGAATCAGCGGCAACCTGTTCGTCGTCCCTCTATCCATAAGCGGCCCTGCCGCCGTGAGTTTGCACATTTGACAAGCTGTAGACATGATGGCCATTACTACCACCGGGCATAGCAGATTGGGTGCTTGGTTACTCTGTTGGCTGCCAGCTGCCTCGTGGTAAGATGAAGAAAGCCCTATATATGCAAGGAGTTGCAAGGGTTGCCAATGGATGGTCAAGCCACCATGTCGCAGATTGAAAATCTGGAAAGGCCTCTGCTTTCTCCGAATGGCCGGTGACGTTGAAGCAACTCCAAAAGCATAAGCACGCTTTGCATTCAAGACCCTGCCCCCTGACCCTTATTGATGTAGGGGTCGTAATAATTAGAATAGGTTTTGGGGTAGATTATACTATAACTTAAGAAGGAACCCCCAAAATAATGTAGGTAATTATTATCGTCCCTATATTAAACCAGAAACGCTAAGGCCCCGTCGAGGGAAGGCAGCGGCTGCAACGGCAGGGCTCGCGATGTGAACACTTTATGTCAACCATTCACAAAACTCTACAACTCTACATAGTGCAGCGGCGCGGGCCACGGTATGGTATTCAGACTTCTGCATACTCCAGCAGTAACCTAGCAGTGCGAGAACAATATGGTATGAATGGTAGCCGAGGGTTCTCATGTTGAAAATGTTGTATTGGAAGCGTAGACTGCACGGCAACATTTTTACTTGCAATGTTGCAGATGTGGGAGTACATAGGGGAGAGTGGCTTGGCCGTTCCTTGCGCGGCTGTATCCGTGGCGCTGCAGTGGTGGTTGGGGTCCGTGTCAGCGAACTGTGTCGCCAGGCAAGCGTCCGAAATCACATCCACGCAGGCTAAGGCTGCATCGACGACGAGGAGAGGAGGATGACGACGAAGAGATCAGCAACAACGGCAACAAGAAGAACAAGAAGAAGCAGCACGGGCCACAGCAACAGCAACAGCGACGACGAGGACGAGGACGACGGCCATAGGAACAGCAGCAATACCAGGAACCGCTACACCTGCTTCTGCAGCATCAGCATCCCCGTAGTTATCTTCTGCATCCTGCGTCAGCATCACGAAAGTCAATCGATCCCAAGACTGCCAATAACATCATTATCCTTGTCAATATCGACGTGTCTTTACGAGTCGGTTTGGAGAGACGGCCTCCATTGTCCGTGCGAAAGCCAGGCAAATTTAAACTCGTTAGGGGCTTGCCGGTTATTCTTGGACTACTACAGAGCCGAGTATAGCCGAATCCTCCACCTAAAGAAACAAAGTTCAGCAAGCCTCAGTGGGCCGCGCCGAATAGTGCCTAATTCAGGACCCAGCAATCCCAGTGCAGTCGCTTCAGTGAGCATTCTTCGCTACTCAGCAGCAAACAACCGCGAGGCTGACTCTCTGGACGAAACGTTCTGAGGGGCGTAAATTATATGTTTATAGAGTATATTATATATTATGCATCATATGTTCTTTTATTATATATATATATATCTAATTATATAGTACATATTATGTATATACATGTGTACGTTTAGGTTACATATTCTATATATATATAATATATGATACGTTATTCATTCATGATATACGATCTTACAATGTTGTGTAAGAGGGTTTCGGGCTGATCAGCATCGGACACGACGCGCCGTATTCCATCTTAAGCTTAACGTACAATCCACGTCGCAGCATTCGAGTCCGGGACTATGTCTACCTAAGGAATTGGAACGACGTATTCTGAACGAAAGGGTCATGCAAGAAGCTATGTCGCCGGGCAGGACAACCCAAGGTCTGGCCAGGAGAGTGACGATTTTACAGGCTTGCGGGGGTTTGGGGAGCAAAGGGTCTGAGACTAGGGCAGTGTCAGTGTGGGGTAGCTGATTCCAGCCAGTCTTCGACCCACAATCATCTTGACCGGCCTCGGTCAAAACCCTAAACCCTAAACCCTAAACCTCAAGAGGCTACAGACAAAATCCTCCAGTGAACTGAAGACTTCAGGCTGCAGCAGCCATATACCTCCCCTTCGCATGTGATCATCCAGGGAGCAAGGTCAAAGGGCGTCAAGGCGGCATGGTAAAGGCGTTCAGCTTCCTCGCAACCACCATATGTCGGCTCCGATTTCTTCGATTGCTAGCTGATAGAAACCAAGTTCGTGTCAGATGTGATGACGACATGGGACACGAAAGTGGCGGAAGGTAATCGTACTCACTTCCCTACCTCCTGCAGCTTTGCACGGAATCTGCTTCAGCAAACCATAGGAGAACATGAGACACCGCGGTCGTGCCAAGCATTTCTTTGAGACAACAGTTGATTCTCATCGGCAGACTCGGCGCAGCTGGGACTTGCATCCCGTGAGAGGTACACAAAAGATCTGGGAAAGAGCTGATGCTAGCCGCCACTCGCGAAGCCACAAACGCACACATGCCGTGCGACTCAAACAAATGTGAGGAGCCTGGACACAGCCCACGAGTGGGCCGAAAACATTTGCGCACATGGCAGGCCTCTCCACAACCAGGCAATGTGAAGAGAAACCAAAACTACTAGAAAGCTCGGGAGTTGTGTGATTCAAGAGCAGACCCGCTCAAAATTACCCTCTGCAGTTGAAAGAGCCACTCTCGATGCCCGTTATTGCATATCGCATGTAGTAGCTGCTACACTACTCCCGATCAGTCCAGCCGCCTCCAAAGAGTCTGGTTAAAACTCGACATTTGGAAATAAGCTCCGCTCGTATGAGAGAACTTCCTCAGAAGCGAGTCATCACCCCATGCACAAAGACAACAGAAGTCGATGAAGCGAAAAATAAGAGGTTGATCCCTGTGAATGTCTGAAATGACCAATGTCCTATTCTGGTATCTGATCCTCGGGGATGTCTCGCAAACCCATGCCCCAAAACGCTTGCTAGCGGAATCCGGAGTCAGTCCAAGCATCGCAGCAAGCAGGGGCAGAACTGCATGTGCACCAATCGCGACCACTCATGTTCCCGTTTGCAGGTTCTTGAGCCCAGACTCTAGCGTAGGGTTTATGATTTAGGCCCATTCTACTCGCGTCGGCAGCATTGGAACTCCCGACAGCCCTGTGCACTACAGACATCTGGGTTGTATTTGGAATCCCCTTGTCCAGCGGTTTATGTCTGGAGGCCTTGACACTGGGATTTTTCACTTTGGTGTAAATTCTACTCTAAGTTCTGTAAGTACTTACAATGACAAATAGGTTAAATAGGACCTCGAAGGCATAGTGTTACTGATTCTTCGGACATCTTCCGACCCTGAATTAGTTCATCACAGGCCAACATCATTCACCGTGGCAGCTCGTCAGTCGTGAAGCTTTGCAGTGGGGTCTAGGGCTTAGTAGGGCGTCGTAGAGTTTAGTAGGGTTTCAATAGAAGCTGTCCAGGCGGTCGGATTGAGCATTTGGGTTCATAATGGTTCAGCGGTTTGGGGCGATCGGGTTCGAGTGATCCGTGTCGGATAGGATTACTTCCGGCAGAGGGACAATCCGTCGCGACCATGCACATGATGGAACGTCCTCGCAGAACTCTGTATATGCGAAGTTTTCCGGTTTCTACCGTCCAGCCTCTTTGTGAACAGAATTTTCAACTTAGATGCGTACTCTTGGGCATGCGCTGAATTTCCGCAGGGTGACCCATGCCAAAATTGCTCTCCGACCCTGGTCCTCTCATCTCCCATTTTTCGTCTCCATCGTATGTGCAAGTTTCAGGCCACCCTTCCTGCACTGCAAGCTAATCATTCCACACTTTGAAGAGAGCGCTTTCTCCGACCTGCTTGGCCCCTCGTGTCATGTGGGCTGACCTGTTGCGATCAGTCGACTAGACTGTGAGCTTTTGCAGGATCCCCCCAGTAACGAGGGCTCCTTTAAGGGTGCCTTTAAGGGTTCCTTTGAGGGCGCCTTTAAGGGCTCCTTTAAGGGTTAATGTAGAGCCGCTGGCAGTGGGGTTTCATACAGTAGGGCTTAGGATACATCCCAAACTTCGGCCCCGAAAACTCTGAAGCCTCCGAAACCCAAACTGAATTTTCTCACCCGCAGCTCACACGAAAGATGGCTCGAAAAGGCCCATGGCAAAACCCGCCAGCCTTTTTATGCAAGTCGTCTATTTATACTTGGCTCATAGAAACTCATCAACGCTACAAGATTGCGTATGCAGCTACCGTTCGTCAACCGGTCAACCGTACAACGCTCTAAACACTTTTCGTGAATACGATCCGCTTGTCTTAGACCTTCAGACCGGCAACCAGAAATGTCCCGATGGCTTTCCTAACACTACGAAGGGACAATCTAAGAAGGGATGGAAGCCCCAACGTCTATTTAAACCCTAAAGACTCTACCCTAAGGGCCCTAAGCCCTGAACCCCTAAAACCCAAAAGCCCCTAAACGCTGAACCGAAGGTCCCTTCAGGTCTCCTTCAAAGGTTGCATGAAAGGGGTCCTTTGAGGGTTCCTTTAAGAGCTCCTTTCAGAGATGCCGTTTTAAAAGCCCTGAACCCCTGAATCCCAACAGCTGATCGACCAAGGTCGCGCAGGTCAGCTACAGCTTGAGCTTCGGTCTCGAGCAGGACCCTGTGGAGCCAGGACGCCTGAGGCAACACTCTTGCTACAATATACTGTAACAGGCTACGATCTATCCTAGCATATAGTAGAGTATGCTACAAAAAACACATCAATTGAGGGCGTGGTAAGCTTTTTCTGTGGCCTCCTGCATGGATGAAGGAGTCGTCAGGTCCCAGCTAGGCAGGGTATGTGCCGGGATTCTCACCAGGTCTAGCATGTGGGCAACGTACATAACATAACATGCACACATACATACATCCATGCATACTTGGCTTACCTTAGCTTATTATAATCTAACACGTTATAACATCATATAGCATATAGCATAACATAACATTGTGAATATAATATAGCATGTCACAACACAACTAACAACACAACATAGCATAACATAGCAGAATATAACATACCATACGTACGTGCATGAGTCGCAGATGAATACATAATCTCGGAACTCCTCTCTCTCTACAGCTAGTGTCTATATGTATGCATGCACACAGATAGATAGGGTCACGATCGGAGCATACATCGAAGCTACAATTGTCCTGTGTGGCTTCGCATCTTCCTTGAGACAAGGTCGCACCAGGGATCAATCAACTGCGGAAACCAAATTGCACAGCACATGTATGTGTATGTATGCTTCCCAGTGGTGCATGGGGATGGGGCATGTGCCTGCAACCGTTATTCAGGAAGCCATGATAATCAGATGCGCTGGACTCGCCGTGCCTGATCGAATTGCTGCAACTTTCGCCTTCTTACGCTCCTGCGGCGAAAGAGACTGAGCTGCAGCAGGTCCTTTAGAAGCTAAGCGCTAAACCCTGAACGCAAGAGAAAAACACGTGCTCTACGAAACAGCGTTTTAACGATTTTTCCCACCCGCCCCGTGGACGAAGTCGTAGCGCAAGCAGGGTATGGCGTCTTGATACTTGTTGCAGCTGTAAGGGTCTAGAGACAGCTTCATGCCCAACATTCCAACCCAGCCCGTGATCTTGGCATGGCACATGTGCATCACCTGCCTGGACCCCAGCGCGATTCTTACCAGTAGCGGTCTTTGCTTTTTGAAAGGGGGACGGAGGTAGCTGTCATAAGGATCCTGCTTAATGAAATTCCCCCGAAGACCCTAAGCCAGGAAACACTGCCCTCATCCACCAAATCTCTGAACTCCCAGAACATAAAACCCAAATCCCTAAACACCGACAACAACTTGTTTGCGGCGGGATTCCTCCCAGAAACTCTAGTGTAAGGTGGAAACCCTAAACTCTAGAACCCTAAACCCTAGAACCCCTGATCTCCGAGCATCCTTCAAGGCGCCGGAAGGACACAAATGGCCTGAGGTGGCACTTCTGCGACACTACTCGTGGTTTAGGCTTGTGTTTTGGGTTTTGGGGGAACAACACCCATACTGCAAAATCACAGCGTTGACACTTGTATATCATCGTACTCTTATACTCTCTGGCTACCGAGCATGGTGGCAAAATCGGTGATGCCAGCATAAAATCTCCTGACACGACCCGAAGATGCGCCGCACCCTAAACCCTAAACCCTAAACCCTAAACCGTACCCAGGTGCCGACGAGCCGCAATAATCACAGGCATATCCATTCGTGCAGCCTCTGGACTTCCAAAACCACGCGCAGGGCCTCAGAAGGACACCCTAATGTAGGGGCCTTAACAACTATAGTAGGATTTTGGGGGGGTGGTTCCTTATTATATAGTTATAGTATATTATAACCCCCAAACCCTCTTCAATTCTGACTATTAAGGCCCTATATTAAACCCGAAACCCTAAAACCGCCCTGAAACCCCAAGCACGAAACCGTAACGCAGTGGCCTTAATAATTAGAATCGGGTTTTGGGGCCCATTATACTTTCACTATAATAAGGAACTCCCAAAATAGTATTGGTAATTATTTAGGCCCCTACATCAAACCCGAAACGCTAACCCCAGCAGAGTTTGAAGCGAGATCTGGCTCTGTTGGTGGGATGCAGTGTCACAGCGTCGGTTCGGGATTATATGAGGGGCCTTAATAACTAGAATGGTTTTTGGTGTATTTGATGCTACAGTAATCAGGAACCCCAACATATGTATTGTCCGAATAGGGTTTCGGGGTATGTTCTACTGCAAGGGGAATAAGAAGCCCCCAAATACTCCCTAAACCCTAAACCCTAAACCCTAAAACCTAAACCCTTTCAGCACGGACTGAGGTGCCGGCCAGCGCCCATGCAACCCTCACCCCGTCTTAAGGCAAGAGCGCGCAGGAAAAGCTGTGGATGACAAAACCTAAACCCTAAAACCTAAACCCTAAACCCTAAACCCTAAAACCTAAAACCTAAACGCTAAACCCTAAACCCTAGTGGTAATCATTTCGGCCCCCTCTATTCCGTGTACCGGAGGAGCTCCGAAGTTGCACTGCAGGCTTCTGACCCGCAACCTGCACAGAAACATCTTCATCTTTATACAGATTTTTGTTTAGGGTTCAGGGTTTAGGGTTTAGAGTATACAGGTTTTTGTTTAGGGTTTAGGGTTCAGGGTTTCGACTCACACACTCGCAAAAGCTGGCATGGCGATAAGTGTCCGACGTTTAGGGTTCACCGATGTTTGTTTAGGGTTTCGGGTACATGTGTAAAACTATTTAAACCTCTAAGGGGCCTACCCGTAGGCCCCTTAGTAATTCCTTTTTGGGATTACCTTGTATGATTCTAAATATGAACCCCAAAAAGGAATTACTATGGGGCCTATGGGTAAGCCACTACACCCCTAAACCGGGAAAGCCATGGCCAGAAAGCTCCGCTGCAGGCAGCTGAGAACCAGGCTTGCATTCACCTGTGGCCAGCATCTGCTGAGATGATTTTGGGCTTGGTGTAGGACTCATAGAGTTTATGGTTTAGAGTCTGCCGTCATATGGTTTAGGATGTGCAGGGCTTCTAGTTTTTACAGACACCTCATCCGATTATACTTGCGCATGGTGCAGAGGAAGCTCATTGGGCAGGTACGTCCTCATTTACGGCCAACCAAAAGCTCTGCACTTGTTAGGCTAACTTTTACAATCCATGCGGGCTGCAGGAACTGGCGTCTCGAGTTCAGCGCCCTCCATTCCGGCAAGGTCCGATGCTTCCGGTTCCAAAACTCATAAAGTTACGGCCGGTCACCCTCATCTAAACACGGTTGCATCAATACTCAGGTATGGTCATGACAGACCTTTGGCCTGGAACATTGAGCCCATGCTCATCTTGCCGTGCAACACAACCCACACCTTGTTTTTGGCACCCGTACAAGAATGGCATACCTTAACGACCCGAAACTCCTAACCTAAACCCTTTCACGCCGAGGCTGAAACCCTGAAGAGTGCCGAAAAACGTTGCCTGAAGCCATGAAGCCCTAGTTCCCTACATCAAACCCCAAACCCGGCGTTCAGAATCCGTCAGCCCCGACCGGCCAGGGCCTGCGGAGTGAAGCGCTGATCCCATGTTTGGGACCTCTAAGCTGCTCGCAAAGCCTGGCTTTTGAGGCCCTGGGGTCGTTTCCCTCCTACTTAGCAACCTCAGCAACTAGGGTTCAGGGTTTACCTTAAGAGCCCAACACCTACTTTTTTGCAGGGTCCCTATAAATCCCATATTAGGGTTCATAATAAGAGCCTACAAAAAACTGGGTTTTGGGTTCTTAAGGTAGGATTTAAGGATCTCGGGTTTACACTCTCACAACTCGGACAAGCCAGGCGAGGGTTCTCGGGTTTAGGGTTTGGGACCCCCAAGCTGAACGCAAAGCCTCGCTTGCATGCAGGGCCTTAGGGTCTGAGTCTGGCTTTCAGGCTCCCGGGTTTAGGGAACAAGTTGTATGCGTACTAACATATACGCCTATAGTAATATATACGCACACATAAACATTTCTGAAGAAATAAACAAATACAAACATACAGATATATCTATCTATCTATCTATCTATCTATCTATCTATCTATATATATATATATATGCTTATTTAAATATATATATATATATATATATATAATACATATTGTGTGTGTTCATGTACAAGTATGCCTTATACAGGCATGAGGAGGCTGTCGTATGAGAGGGATTCCCCCAAAAAACTGTCCTCCCATGCCATGCCCGGCCTCCTTGGCTTACACTGCTCGGCACGTGCGGCTCCTCGTTGACTTCCGCGGCGACACCTGTCGCCCCCTTTGGCTTCGGGGTTGTGGTGGATAGTAAGAGGCTGCATCCGATGCAGTCTAGTAACGTACCTTCGATACTGCTACCAATAGAACAGGATAACAAAATAGGAAAACGGTCAAACCGATGTAACAGAAATACGGGGACGCAAACTCTCACACACAGGTATTACATCTGTATCTGTACCTATATATGTATATATGTATATTAATACCTATATCTATATCGCTCTTGGTAAAACATGTGGATATACACGACATAGTCTACATGCTGTGCCACCCTTAACCAATGACGGCATGGGAAGAATTGAAATTCGAGCATTTGGCTGAAGGGCTTCCGGAACTCGCCGCTCAGTCGCGGTGTTGGGAGGGCCTGGAGAGCTCGGTCGCCCAAGGGCCTTCTGCTGCGACCGCACCCTGCGATATATATATATATATATATATACATATAATGTAATATAACATATTACACAACAATATATAACATATCGATCTATCTATCTATCTATCTATCTATCTATATATATATATATTCAGTCAGTTTGGAGCCAACTCTACACCGGCAACGACCAACACCCCCAGCAAAGAACAAGTCTGCACCCCTGCACAACTGGGCCCAAGCTTCCATAGTCCGATCGCTAGCTGAGGACCAACATGCAACAACAAACACCGACCGACGACGCACCCGGCCTTGTGCAGTGTTTGCCACTGGTTCTGGGTCACTAGGAGCCTGGAACCTGCGACACGCATTTTGCGGAGATGAAGAAAACAGGATGATGGTCCGGATAGGCTAGGGCCTAGGGTTTAAGGGGGTTTCGGCGCTCACACTCGGGCAATCCAGGGGTTTAGGGTTGAGGGTTGCCTGGGAACCCGAATAGAATCCTTGGGCTCATAGTCAGGGTCGTTTCTAAAGGTTGAAGTGTGTAAGGGGTTCAGATTTTTTCGACGAAGTCAAATTCCTAGGCTGCTGGCTCATTCCAAAGACTGTTTCGGAGCCCGAAGTTCTGTGGCCTCGATTTGATCCTCTCCTGAGGCGAGCATGGAATGGCAGAAGTACTCTTCTGAAATGCGTGCGCAGGGCTTCCCACAGGCCAGCGGCACGTTAGCACTGCGCAGGAATCAATATGCACGGCAAGCTAAACGATGCGACCTGCCTGGAATAATTGCCTACGGCACACACGACCGGATCCAGCCTCTGACCAAGAGGAGTGCAGTTGTAGTTTCCGGCAGGCACGAAAGCCTTGCCGGGCATCAGGCATGTCTCTGTCTGCAGTCTGGGCACGAACAACTCCTTGCAGCCGGAAGTGCAGACTCTCAAATCCGAAGTCTGAGCAAAGGCACCGCACAAAAGCGAGACCACGAGCCCCAACAGGTCAAGAAACACATAGCGCTTGCATAGCAGGTTCATAACATGCTCCTGTAGATGGGTCTCAGCACCCCTATCTCTGTCTTGAAAGAAAGAGCGCCCGGTACATGCGGCGATGAATTACGCAAGATAAGTGGGAGAAGTCCGGGGTGCCCGGCCTTCGCGTTTACGTTCAGTTGAGTATATCGGCTCTCCAGGTCCTGGCAGGCCTCGACATCGCACCGAGCAAACAATAGCACACGGAAGCAAATGGGACTTTCCTAAAATTTGGGTACCTTATTTTGGGGTCCTTATAATAAGGATCCTACTATTTAGGGTACTATATTAGGGTCCCCTATTTTCGGAAACCCCCAAATTGGGATCAATAAGTCTGACATAGTCTGACCTTGATTGCAGGATTTCAGAACTCGTGTGTTAAGCATGGACAGCTTAGGTTCAAACAGTGAAGGGCTTAACATCCTGGCAACACACAATGCAGGCAGTACGCAGGACACCCCCTGTCGAAGACGAAGTCGGTGCGAGCTTCCCAGACCCCTGAAAGAATCTAGAAAGTAGATCCCTTAAGGGGGTTCCTATAAAGACCCTTTATTAGTTAGGGTGCTTCCTAGAATGTAGATCCCTTAAGGGGGTTCCTATAAAGACCCTTTAGTAGTTAGGGTCCCAAATTAGGGGTTCTACTTTCTAGATCCGTCCGGGGGTCTGGGTTCACGTTTTGGATCCCCGAAAATCAGAGGGCGTAGTCGCCAAGGCAATCATCGGACAGAGACCGCGGTAGCTGACATACTGATGGCTCAAATCCTGCATTACCCATACTAAGGAATATACCATAATTCCCCAAAATTTAGGGTCCCTAAGGAATATACCATAACTCCCATAGTTTAGGGTCCTTAATAGGTAAGGTAGGATTTTATACCCCAGAGCTCTGGTTGTTCGCCCCTAAAATCCTGGAAGCCGCAACCCCCCGAGTCCGAAGGCTCCAAGTCACAGCACGCAAGCCCAAGCCTTTAGGGTTTAGGGGTTAGGGTTTAAGGCCTTAATATAGGGGCCTTAAATAGCTAAAGTAGGGTTTTGAGGCCCAGTATACTAGAATGATAAGCCTTCATCTAGGGGCCTTGATAACTAAAACAGGGTTTTGGGGCCCAGTATTCTATAATTAACCTTAATAGAGGGGCCTTAAATAATTAAAATAAGGTTTTGGGCCCAGTATACTATAATTATTTGCCTTCATCTAGGGGCCTTAATAGGGGGCCCAGTATACTATGATTATAGTAAGGACCACCCCCCCAAAAAAAACAAAAACAAAAAAAGTATTGGTAACTATTAAGGCCCTACATTCATCATCATTATTTTCCGGACCCCCCCCAAAAAAAACTATCCTGATTATCAAGGCCCTACATGAACCCTCCCCTCTTTGCAAAAAGGAAAGGCGTCTTGGGCCCCCGGGCTGACACCATCGAGTCCGTGCGAGGGCCCGGCACGATTGGCATCAGGAAGCTGAGAGGTGCCTCCAAATACCTCCGCGGGGCTTAGGGTTTTATTTCCGTAGGGGTTTGGGGTGTAGCAGTTGCGGTTTCGGGGCTTCGAGGTTTAGGGTTTAGGCTTTAAACACTTCTTCCATCCGCCCACCCAAAGGTTGGTTTTGAATCCACCTCGTGGGAGCTTGCAGCCCGACCATACCTCCGGGTTTAGGGTTTCAGTCCGCCTGAAATGATTGGGTTTTTTCCACCCGCCCAGCTGACTAGGTCGCAGTGCATGGAGTAATTGGGCTTTAGCGCTTAGGGTTCAGTTCCTCCAAATTCATCCCTCAGGAACTCCTTGAGTGTAGGGTTTGGGGGTTTTGGATGGTTCAGGGCCAGTTTTGGCTTGGGATTTCTCCGAACTTACCAAAGGTTGACATGCAAACCTGCTAACCCCCGAACCCCAAAACATCAAGCCCAGAAGCCATCCCACAAACCAGCCTTAAAACACATTTACACAAAGGCAACCAGCCTCGGCGAAGGAGTTGGTGTCGCTGGCCACAGATTCCTCCTGGTGTGTTTCCAGCGCTCTGGCCTTTAAATCTTCTGGACCTAAACCCCGCCAAACCCTAAAGCCTCAACACCTGCATCCTAGACTCGACCCCGTCGCTGATCGGGCTTCTTTTGTTTTCTGATGCGGGCTTACATCACGCACACCGTAAATTGGCACCTTCCCTTCTGGTCTTTGCATGATCCCGTGATATACCAAAATACCCACAATCATCTCTCGCTCGCTCTCTGTCTCACTCTATCTCTCTCTCTCTCTCTCTCGCTCTCTCTCGCTCTCTCTCTCTCTCTCTTTCTCTCTCTCTCTCTCTCTCTCTTTCTCTCTCCTACTATCGTACTGTCTCTATTGTACATTGTCTCCTTTGCATGTATAATACATACATACATACATACATACATACATACATACATACATGCGTACATACGTCTATGCAGCAGAATACCCCCAACAACAACAAAGAAGCACTTCTGTTTGAATTAACCTGAACCCTGAATAGCGCAACCTATCCGTCGGATGCAAATGCAGCCCTGCACTTTGACCCTCCGCATACAGCCGCAAACAAGGATTGTTGTATAGCCAGAGGTGGATTACATAACGTGTTTAATCAGGTCAGACAGCGGTGATAAAGCGCTTAGTTTCACAGTTTTTGAAGGTACACTCCTGCGCGCTTCAACTTATACAAGCTCTGATGCTCTCAACCTTATGCTGTATGTGCGTGACTGTGGGCGCGTGTGTGCGCACGTGTCACTAGCTGTGCCGCGCCTGTTGGGGCATATCCAGTCTGTGTTCAACTGCAGAAGTGTACATGCATTAACTAGCCCAAAATCCCTTTTTAAGTCGCAGGCTTGCAAGCAAGGACGCCTGGTAGTTAGCCAGTCGTCCGCCAGCTGGCACTAGCCCAAAATCCTTAACCCCTGAACCTTCATCGTTCCAGGGCATCTTTTCGTAGACACATTCGCTAAAACCCTGGCTGTAGGCCCCAGGCGGAGTACTTGCCTCGTCAGTGTCCCGACCGTCCTCACTTCGACAACGTTCAGGGGGGGCGTACATGCTTCAGCATTTAAGGCTTGCAAGGCCTTGACAAATAGCCTCGGGTATGCTGAGATCTTCGGGACAGCAGGGAGAATGCCGGACGGACGTGTGCGGCATCCGTGCTTGGATTTCCGATTGGCTCGGATGTATAGCTCATGTAGAAGGGCCGCGAGAAGTACATTCCCTCTGCAGCAGTCAACATCATCATCGTCATCGTCATCATACTGCAGCACCACTGCTACGACGACGACCACCACCACCAACAACAACAAACACAACGATGGTAATAACCCAATAAAACACCCTGAGACTATGAAGGTTCCGGGCAAGTGGAAGGCTGAGCCTGGATGCTTAAACCTCCCCTGACCCCAAGGTTTCATCGGATCCACACGACTGGCGGCCATTGCAACTTTCAACTTCAATTTTTCGGCGAAAAGGGAGGGACAGGGATGGGAGGTTATGTGCAGATGAACTTCAGATTTACGAATCAAGTGGAGCCCAACTTGGCTCCCAACTTTACAGCCTGTTTTTCGAACCCGAAACGCCTACAGTAATAATAGTGGCCCTTACCAAGTAGAACAACAAAGCTTATACCAGTCGGGTAAATCATACCAAAGTGAAATTTTAACAAGGAAACCCACCACATGCTATTGTTCGATATTAATTTCAAAGCCCCTACACAAGCCACAGAAACGTACAGAAGGGACTCCATCCGCAGCTTAGCGTCGCCAAAGGTCTCCGTGGACAGGGCGGACGGCGACCGCGTGTCCGGGGTCTGTGGGCGAATTCCTGCGCCCAGGTCGCTGGTGTAGCTGCACACCTGAATCAGGACTCAGGCTTCAAACTCTCGCTTCCTTTTTGTTTGGGGGTTCCCGAAAATAGGGGACCCTAATATAGTACCCTAAATAATAGGATCCTTATTATAAGGACCCCAAAATAAGGACCCCTAATTTCCGGAAACTCCCGTTTCTTCTGGGCGGAATTCCAAGTCGGGCTCCAGTCCGATCCGGAGGTCGTAGGGTCGGTGGGCCCTAGCTCTGCATTCAGGAGATGTCCCATGCCCCAAGACTCCATGGACCTACCTTAATTAAGGGTTCATAACCTACTATTTTGTAGGGTTTGGGGATACAGGTAGGACCTACCTGTATCCCCAAACCCTACAAAATAGTAGGTTATGAACCCTTAATTAGAGGGTCTAACCCTCAAAACGGTAGGTTTTTGGATCCACAGGTAGATAGTTTTTGCTATAGCCCTGAAGAATACCTGTAAAGGAACCCATTCAAGGCTGAAGTACTTGCATCTTCTGTAGGGGCCTTAAATAATTGGAATAGGGTTTGGGGGTTCCTTATTATCATTATAGTATACAAAACTCCTAAACCCTATTCTGATTATTAAGGCCATTATATTTCTGTAGAAGTACATGGAGCCTTAAACCCTAAACCCTACAGAACAATCCCTTACGCTACCCTTACAGGAATCTTTAATGACCCCTTGAAGGAACCCTTCAGCCTTAAAGGAGCCGTCATGTAGGAACCTGATTAAGAAACCCTGGGCCATTCATAGGGTTCTTAATATGAGCCCTAACATATTGGTGTTATAGGGCCAGGGTTTCTTCATCGGCTTCCTACATTAAGGCTCCTTTAAGGACCCCTTGAAGGAATCCTTGTAAGGAGCCCTTACAGCAAGCCTTAAAGGAGCCCTTAAGGAACCCTTAAAGGAATCCTTTTAAGGAGCCCTCAAAGGAATCCTTTTAAGGAGCTCGTAAGGAACCCTTTAAAGGAATCCTTTTAAGGAGCCTTTTTAAGGAACCCTAAACCCTAAACCCTAAACCCTAAACCCTAAACCAGCCTTAAGGGAGCCCTTAGGGTGCCCCATGCACCTCGCGCTTCTGAACCGGGAGCTGAAGAGCCATCACGGGCGGTTCTTCCTGCCGGGGATTTGGCGGCGCAGGGTCTTAAGGGTTTCGGGGTTTAGGGTTTAAGAGGGTTTCGGGTTT